GCGCTGGGTTCTTGCAGGTGTGGATGTGGTCTGGATGTTGTCCTGTGTCCTGTGGTCTCTATTTTAGGAAGATTTTTCTTTGTTATATTTTCATAGCTCTATGTGTTTTTGGGAGGAGATTTCCACTGCTCTACTCACGCCGCCATCTTGGCTCCGCCCCGGGACAGATTTTTAAACACCCGTATCTAAATCAAATCAAATCAACTTACAGAATGAAGATAATTGAGTACCCACAGGGGAAAAACATGTCTCGGAGACACCTAAACTGTTTAAGTCTGGGGAGTGATTGTTACCTAACTATGAGAAAAGGCTTGCATTTTCTGAGTGCTCTCCATTGATTAGGATTGTTTTCTTCAGAAGTAATTCCCAAGAACATACTTGTGATTCCACTGTCGATTAACCTGTTGACACTCCTTTTAAAGTGTCCATTAACTTATGGTAACTTACACTGGGAGGGCATGTGGCCCCCACATGAATGTATTACAGTTGCACTCTTTTAATAACTAACTGAAATCATGATAAGGAAATGACTAACAAAGGACACTGCTGCTGTTCTACTCCTTCATGAAAATGACCCGTTTTCCTTCCAGCTTCAAAGAATGAGAGTTCATATCAGTTCCTCACCTGAATGCATGACTCTTCAATCTCAGGACTGGCAGAATTAATGGATGCCGTCCTAAGGTTGTTGAGTTCTGCATTTCTGGGCATTTCATCTCTATGGAGAAGTACGCATTCCCTCATTCCAAAGACTGAGCCTGAAAGACTTTTCTCCCTAGGGAAGAATCTTCCTTGTAACTTTCTTGTTACCACAGTCAGAAAAGAGAAACAGATTGAGGAGGTTTGAAATTTGGGAGATACCTTACCAATAACTTGACCCTTGGCATGGAGCTCCCTCAAATTTGCAGTGCTATGGGGGTCCTTACTGTGACTGTTAGAGGATAAACACTTTGCTAATTTCTAGTGAATTAATTTTCCATTTTCTTTTCTTTAATAGGTCCAGTTAAAAACAAGAAAAAGGGTAAGTTCAGCTCCTGATTTTATAAAATTGCTTTTTTTTCTATAATTAGAAGAAAAAAATCAAGGGAGTAGGATTTTTAATTATATTCTTTCAATGCAGGTTGTCCATTATTTTATTCAATCACAAATGTCTTAAGTGTTGTATCTTCCAAAGAATAAGAAGTAGAAATAGTTTTTCATTGATGATCTGCAAAAGACAGAAGTGCTTCTAATAGCAACATATGGAAGTTGCTTTTCTTTCTTGCTCCACCTCCCATATAATTCAATTTATATTTCTTTCCTTTGTTCTTCCTCACTCATTTCCCTGCCCTTCTCCTTTTTTCTTTTTCTCCCTCCTTTATCAAATCAGTGATCTAGTATGAATGAAATGCTGAGACAAGTTGTAAAGACTAGGTATACTACCTCCTGACAGATGTCAGTGCCCTATTTCTTGGATGAAGAGCTGTCCCTATCCTATTTCATCAACAGGGAAGGTGTTTCTTGCTTTGGTTTTAATATCATTTTCTCTGTGATGGAAAAGTTAGCCTGGATCAATACCCTGACCTTTCAGTCCTTTTAAGGAAGCTTCTAATTGGGCAGATCCACTGTGCCACTGTCAGGTCAGTAAGTCTACAATGTCCTTGGAATGGGACTCGCCCAAAAGCTTGTATGAGTGCTTGTGTACTTGAAGAGGAGAACCCCAGGACAGAACAGCTTTCAAAAGACAGGACCAGGTAATGTGGTGTACTCCTTGGCACTGAAAGAACCAACATGAAGCCAGTTTTAAGGACCTGTTTGTGTCATTGCACTGACCTGGGGGAGAGTAGAGTGAAATTAATGATTTTTTCATTAAAATGCTTTAGGTGAAGTGATTCTGTCTGTTAAGATGTCTGGAGCTTTATAGAGTAGAATGGGCCAAAAAGACTGGCTTCAGCCACTGCTTGCCACTTCTCTGAGCACTAGGGTACACTGATGGCTTGACATGTCATGGCTCACATGGAAAACCTGTATCCCTATTGTAAGGAACCTGAGGAATGGCCTGTCCTCCTGAGTACCTAAACTGAGCAGAGTTAGAAAAGAGCCAGAGAGCTGGAGTCAGTGAGGAAAATTTCCTCTGTAGGGTCTGGCCATTCAGATTTTTTTCTGAAAAGTCTGCCTTTGCAGAAAGGAAATTTGGCTTTCAAGCATATAGTTTTTAGGCCTTGTCATATTCCTTTAAGACAGAAATTATAACAAACCTAGAAAGCTCACCTGGCTTGTACAAGGACCCCCTCTACTTCTAACACAGTCCCAGAGATGACTTCCCTTCTTAATAGGTAGACTTGAGAGCACATTCTAATTATAGCTACTAGCTTTTTTCCACTCATTTAGTAACTAGACAGTGAATAAGCATCTTACATTGGTCAGGAATAGAGATAATGGAGATGAAGAAAAATGGTTCCTACCCTCAAAAATCTCCCAGTGTAGCTGGAATCATGGAAGTGCACACAAATAATTGCAGCACAGTATGACAAATACAATCATAGAAGCATGAGCAGGGTGCCATGGGAGTGCAGAGAAGAAAGAAGTAGTTCTCTCTGTGGGGAGTGAGGAGCCATATCTCAGAGAAAACAGTATTTGACCTGGACTTTGTAGCATGAGAGAAAAAGAGGAGGAAGGACATTCCTGCAAAGTGAAGAACACACGCAGATCTCTCAGAGGCCTGACAGAATATTGTGTGTTTGGAGGAATAGCAAGTAGGCTAGTGATCCCACAGAGTGTAGGGCATGTGTGTGGTAAGGAGTGGCACCCAGCTGTAGTGTTCTCTGATGGGTAAGCACTGAGGGAACCCACTTGCTAGTGGCAGTAGAAGGCACATGTCTAGGCGAGAAGGCAATTCAGAGATCAGAGTCCCTCTGGCAGGGACTCTGATCACTGCCTGGCTCTGCAATCTTGTATATGGGCCAACACCAGGAGGAGAATGTGCATAGGCCTTAAACATTTACTTTGGCTGAAAGTGATTTAGAAGCCATTTAATACAGATTTCCTTGGGCACAGTGAATAGACACATGCCTGGAGAGGTAAATTGACTTGTTCATTTAATTTCCATCCTCTAATGGACGTTTCCCCCTCCTACAACTAATTCACTCTTGCACACATGCTCTTTTTCTCTTGCTGGCTTGCTCGCTCTCCTCTCTCTCTCTCTCTCTCTCTCTCTCTCTCTCTCTCTCTCTCTCTCACACACACACACACACACACACACACACTTTCACTTACTTGCTTTTAGTTGTTCTTTCAACAATTTTGGCTTCACTGAAAAGTTAGGGAAATGCCCCTTTCACAAAGTTTAGCTTCAAAAGGAATATGTATATACTTTCATCTAAGACAATACAGAGTACATTTCTCAGAAATTTCTGGGCCATTGTATCATGAAGTGCTCTGTGAAAGTAAGGAAATCCAGAGAAGGAATTCAGTCCTTTAAAGTCATCTTCTGGGTCCAGGGGTCATTTTGTACATGTTCCTCTCTGGACCAACTTTCTGTAAGTATGAAAGTATGAGAAGCACACTTGCCTAGACCTGGTTGCAGAGGAGCAAAGAGGACCAAGTGCACAACTAGATCACAGCAGGAGCTTTTTCCCAAATGCCTTCTAACATTTTCATAAATAAATATCCTCTGTTTACACTGCAACCATTATTCTCTAACTGGAGGACTTTCTGGCTCTAATTTCTCCAAAATTACATTAACAATCACAGGAGATTCACAGCTGGACCCTGAAGTTTATACTACCCAAACACCCTCTAGCTCAAAAATCACTGTGAGGACTGGAAATCCTGGGACACAGGGCAGCTTAATGTGCACCATCCTCTGTGTCTATGCTACTCACAGAGCAATGAGGGACAAACAAACCTGACAGCCAGGCCAGGGGGTTCCCTGACCTCCAGGAGTAGGTCAGTCCTCCTTAAACAATCTCAGTCTTGGGAGGAAACAGAAATCATTGAGACCAAGCTCCTCATTTCACCCACGGAGAAATTAAGGCTCAGGGAGAGGAAAGATTTGCCCAAAGTGCATCTGTGGCAGAGGTGGGGCTTACAGCCTTATCTCCTGACTACAGATTCTGTGTTCGTTCCACTACACTGGCTGGAATTGAGACTTGGGCACTGAATAAGCCTGACTTGGAAACTGCCCAAATCTGCAGGGAGATGGCTTTCCTGTTCAGCATCTTGAAATGGGCTATATCTAGAAACTGAGCAGACCTGATCATGTGCTGCTAAGCGCAGGGCAAATACTAAAGCTCCTGCCTCTAGGTCTTCAAGGCCACAGGGACTCTCCCCAGCAGAGAGGCTCTCCAGACCTTCCTTCCTTTCCTCCCTGGGGAAGGGGCCCCACCATGACCCCATCACTTCATTCCAAATGCAGAAGTGGTTGGACATGGACGACTGGCCTCTTGAGTGGCCTTGCCATGGGGATTGGGTTTCTTGAACATGCAGCATTATTTTTACAAAAGGACCTGGAAACTCAGAACAGGATCCTCCCGCCTAAGACTCTGGGGAGTGGGGAGTCGGTGTCAGTAAGGAGGTCCTTAAGTTAGACTTGCGAGGGCTACATTTGAAACAAAGAAAGTTCCACAGGTGAGGACATTGTGATGGAGTCTGGTAATGGCTTCCATTCCTGGGACTTGTCCGGAATGGTGAGATCGTGGTGAAGGGTGGAGAGAACATCTACCTGTGACCAGGCGCAGTGCTGCACAGAGCAGAGAACAGAAACAGGAGCTGCTGGAGGGTTTCATCAAGACCACAGCTGTGACTCAGTTAACATAACCACTTCCTGGCAGGAATGTTGGAAGGACTGGAATATGAAATAGGAGGGCTGAGACTGTTCTAAAAGGAGAGTGAGGAGGAAGTGGGGAGGAGTTGGTGGGCTTGACTAATAATACATTTGTGAATAGGGCCTCTGAGAAAAGATTCTGGGAAGCCAGACTATTTAGCCAGAAAAAATGGAGGTTGATAGGAGACTTAATGCCTTTAAACATATGAGGGTTCTTATGTGTACGATAGTAACCATTTTGCTCTATCTACACAGAATAAGAGCTTAAGCTGCTGCAGGAGGGACTTTAGTTAAATATATAGAAGAACTTCCTAACAGTGAGGGGTGACAAACATCAGAGTATGTTACCAAAGGAGTTTGCAGAATTTCCTTTTCCAGGGGTCTTTAAAAAGACGTTTTGGAGAGGTCAGCTGAGAAAGCAAAACCTGCCTGTCGCCTCGTCCTCAGCTCTTTCTCTGCCCTGCCTCCCCTTGTTTCCTTCTGTTTGTCACCTCCGCCTCCCACTCCTGTCTTCCATGCCCCCCACCTCTCATCTCCCAAACTCATTCTCCTTCCTTATTCCTAGCTAGCACTACCTCCACCGCAACCTGCAGTTCCTGTACATCCTGATGCCTTTAGGAAACCTTCCTGGAGCTGATGTTACTCCTGAGGTCAGGCAGGCCTCTTCGCTTCCTCTTCTCATCTGCATCAAGTCCACCAACTAGGCAGTGAACATTAAAGCCACACTCTTCAACAACAACCCAATTCTCAGTTCTAAAAGTGACCTATAGGTCTGGCCACTTGATAATTCTGATCCTTTGGACTCAGCTCAATGGAACCTCCTCTTTGAAGCTTTCCCTGACCTCTTCAGCATTTTGTCCCTACCACTAATGTGACTCTGTATTCCCACTAGACTCAGCTCCTTGTGGGTCATTTATTTCTATATCTTCAAACCCAGCTCTATAAATGATTATTCATGAAAGGAGGTTGGGAATATGTGTGTGTGCACATGCTCTAAAGGTGTCTACCACTTTACCAGCAGGAACCCCCCAGAGGGCTGACTTGATGTCACTGGAAGCCTGTAGAACTCCTGATAGTACATTCTCAGTCGATATCCACAAATGTAACACTGAATCTTGTCTTTCAGGAAAGAAGGCAGGACCTCCTGGGCCCAATGGCCCCCCAGGACCTCCAGGGCCTCCAGGACCCCAGGGACCCCCAGGGATTCCAGGGATTCCTGGAATTCCAGGAACAACTGTTATGGGACCACCTGGTCCTCCAGGTCCTCCTGGTCTTCAAGGACCCCCTGGCCTCCAGGGACCTTCCGGTGAGTTCCTCTGTCTCTCCATCCACCTAGGTTCCTTACAGATACTCTAACAGAGCAGGAATGGTTGATGCTGAGAGGATTTTCAAGTGGTGGTGGTGGAATTGGTATACAAAAAGAAATGCAGGTCTCTTAGCTCAGTGTAGCTTAGTCTAGGAATTGAACAAGCCAGTAGGGTCCAATGTGCTCTAATCTCTTGTTTATACCAGCCTGTCAAGCACAGGCCACCTTCATCACAAGCCCTCCCTGACTCTAGGCCTCCTTGTAGTGGGCTAGTAAACTCAGATGAGCCAGAGACAGAAGCCCTGAGGGTTCATTGGAGTTCCCATGGGGGGTAGAGTTAGTGTGCTCTTATTCTTAGACTCTAGCTCCACATGCTGATATTTGATTGGAAAAAGGCCATGGAGACAAATGTTGGAGAAATGGGAAAAATGACAAGCACTAGAACAGTCTCATCCCCTGAACTCTGAAGTGCCCTTCCCATTAGAGGTAGACAAGTAGTTGCTGGTGGTCAAGGAGCTGGAAACTTACGAGTCACTCAGGCTGTGGCAGACTCAAACCCAGGCACCAAGACCATCTAACTGGGGAGTCAAGCGCTTCTTGCCCTACACCCTTACCCCACCACACTGTCCATTTCCCTTTGCATGTTTCCCCTGGGGCCCAGAAGAGCAACCAAAAAGTATAGATGCAGATTCAAGCCTGCCTGATTCGAGCTGACTTCCTGGGCTTAGGTCAGTTGTTATTCCTTCTCCTACTCCCCTCTTGTATTGTGGGGCTTTAAAGAAATGGACTCTTTATAGCTGATTTCTCTTGGTCCAAGAATCCTGCAACCAGATGCAGATTCTTTGACTCATGGTTCAGATGGGGCAAATCATTGTTACTGTGGCCAAGAAACAGAATTAGGGACTTCCTTTTCATCCAGTCTTTCCACAAATACTAATTGAGCACTTTCTGTGTGCAAGAGATGTATTGATAAGTAGTCTCCTGTTCTCAATGGAGTTTATGGCCTAGAGGAGGAGACAATTACAGAAGCAAGATATTTGTAAGTGGCAGCACACTCCATGAAGAAAATTAATAGAACGTGAGCAAAAGCCTGAGGAAGCAAACAACATTATCTCAGGGTCACACAACGACAAGAGTCGTCTCCCATCTGTTTCTGTGGGTGCTCAGTGGGACTGGCCTTGGGCCAGCATTGGCATGAGGCCAGTTTTCCTGCTGGGTGCTAGGCCCAGTGGAGATGCAGGTCAGGGACAAGTAAGAGAAGGGGTGTCCTCCTCTATCCCAGGGCTTGGCTGCAGGGAACAAGAATCACTGCCATTGGCTGCCTAGGTGAGGAGAAAATGAAGTAAAAAGGGCATGCCCTCTGATTGTCAGGTCCTATTTTGCAGGTGCTGCTGATAAAGCTGGAACTCGAGAAAACCAGGTTGGCTGGGAATTGCTCTCTTCCTGGGGAGGAGGGAAGGTCACAGGCTAAAGCCACCTTTGAGTTTGCTCCCTATTAAATTTGCTGAGGCTTTATTGTGTGAAGCTACCCTGGAGGTTCTAAGGTTTCTCGCAGACCCCTCCCACTCTATATGTATAGAAAAGATTTGCCCCAGGGCCTGCCTTCAGCTAAAGGAACTGAGTCTTACCATGGTCATTTTCCTCCATTCCACAGGAGACAGAGGATCACCATCTGAGCTCAGTAGTCAGCTGAAATGAGCTCCCAGTTGGGCCTGCTCACCTGGGCCTCCGGCTCCCCAGCCACCCTAGACACCTTGTCAGCACTCAGACAGCCTAGGATCAGGAGCTTAGAAGTTTAAGAGTATGTCCTTGAAAGTCAGCCAACCAGCTCCAGGCCAAACCCAGCAAAGGCTTCTGCCTTAATGGCCTGAAGGGCCCCTCCCTAGCCTTTGATCTTCCTAATCTGTCTCCATTGGCAGGTTCTGCTGCTTGCCTTGTCTCATCTCAGCCTCCCTCACTACAGCTGTTTAGCTGCAGTGATAAATCTACGCAGCTGCACAGTGCTTGATGGCTTGCAGGGCAATTTTATATCCATCACCTCATTTGATCTTCAAACATCCCTGTGAGAGAGGCCAGATAAAGATTCTTATAATCCCCATTTTACAGTTAGGGAAATGAGGCTCACAAGCATTACATCTGGCTGAGGTCATATAGCTACAAAGTGGCAGAGCTACAAATCATATTACCCTCTAGTAGCATCCCAAGACAGAGCAGAGGGTCAGAGCTGGGATGCTAAAGGAAACTAGAAGTCAGAGGTGGAAACATGGAAACCGATGGCTGAGCAAGAAGCCATTTCTCACAGTCACTTCTCTCTCTATCCTTTTCATCCTCCCAGCCAGCTGTGGTGCATCTACAGGGCCAAGGGTCAGCAATTCAAGTCAAGAATGGTAAGAGTCCAAGTTGGCTCTCTCCCTACGAGGAGCTTCTCCTCTTCCTTATCCCTAGCCTCCAAATCATCACCTAGTCTGGTTCCCGCCAGGCCCCCGAGGTCCTCTGTGCAAGAGGGGCCATTCTCTCCTCCATTTTGCCCTCTCGTGGCTGTCCTGGGCTCCCAGAGCAGTTGCCCCACCCAGAGGGCATTTGGAATCCCTCACGAGGGAGCTGAAAGGGAGAGACTGGGGGCGTCATGCACACCAGGGATTCTTGGGAGATGGAGGCTGTGTCAGAGTCACCACGGGGATATATGTACTTTGAGCAACATTTTCACAATGCCAATTAGAGGAGGTCAAACTATGTAAAATGAAATTCTTCTTATCTGATGGCACTATGCAGAAAATGGGTGGAGGGGGCATTTTTCTCAGGGAGGTGAGGACATGTTAGACTCTCCAGGGAGTATATGATACTGCGGTCTATAAAAAAGGGGAACAAGTATAAGATGGTTAGGAAACACTGATCTACTGTAGTCCCTGCATTTAAAAGATGGGAAAGCAGAGTCCTGAGAGATTGGATAATACCATAATAAATCATGCTGCCTTACACTCATATGGTGCTTTAGAGTTTCCAATGTTCTTTCTTTGTCTTATTTTATTTGAGCCTCACAACAACCTTATGAGGTAGGTATTAGAGGTTTCTGGCTGTCACCTTTCCACAGAGCCAGAAACTGAAGCTCAGAGAGGTTGATTAACTAACTGGCCTAAGATTTCAGTGAAGTTTAGGAGCTGGAATTCAAAACTACATCTGTCTGACTCTTTCCACTGTGGCACTTTGCTACTTCAGTGATGTGTGTGTACACGCCACTGAATGATTAAGTTCATTTTCTTCCCCAAAGAGACATGAGCATTCATTAAAGAACGGAGCTTTGAAATGATGTCCAGTCCCCAGGGTGCACAAAGCCTAAAATGCATGAGCCCCCAGGATCCTTGAGAAGCAGCGAGTCAGTGAAGATGCCAGATGCTTACAGAGCTTGGAGTGGAAGGGAGGGGCTGTGAGTGTGGAAATGGTAAATGAAGGTTAAGAAACCTGCTACATGGGGACAGCTTCTAAGAGCCCAGTCAGTCCTGAACTGGCTGTACTGAGCTTCCTTACTGATTGAGCTTAGCTACATGCCGGACTACCACCTGGACACCTGACTTAATAGCCTCAGAAATATAAGGATAGAATGATACCAAAATCCAAATGGTCCTGCTGGGACCAGGTGCCTTGGGCCCCAGGGCCTTGGGTGGGCCATAATTATCATCTGTCCTGGGAGGAGTAAGACAGGCAGGAAATAGACTTGATTGAGTATCTGGGTGGATGGCCTCAGTGTTGATTCTGCGCCAAAAGCTATTGATTTGGGCCCCACTGCCACATAACAAGACTGGTTCCAACCCCTCTGAGCCAGTTCCTGCTGGGAGTTTATGCTGATCTTTAGTTCCACCAGGAGCAGAAGCAAGGGGGTCAGGGGTGGGAGAATGTCATGCACGGTGGTCCTTTGAAGAGGCAGGGCTGGGGCATTGCCTCCCAACTCCTGTCCCATCTACTTATCACCTCTTCTGGAAGGTCGATTTCCTCACGCCTCAGAGAGGCAGGCCTCCTAAGACTAGCCAATGATGGACATTCAAAATGTAATTTCTTGGGTGAAGAATGAGCAGTTTGGAGAAGAAAAGTCCCCATGGGCTTGGACTCTCTCCTCTTGGGGTGGAAAGGAACCTCCCACTTTCTGTAGGACCAAAAGGCAAGCCTTCCCTATGCCCTCACATTCTGGCGCCCACTGTCCAGCCAAAGCTGTGTGGCTGTCTGCTGCCCCGAGTGGGCCACGCTGAGAGACAGATGCTCTGCCAGGGCTGCTTCAGCCCCCAAGCACCTGCACCATGCCCCTGGCTGGTTCCAGTGCTGCTGGGTGGACTATCCCTCCCTCTCAAAAAGATCCGTGTCTCTTATGGAGCCTTATTGATGATGGTCACTCCATCCAGCTGCCATGAAATCAGACTCACCCCAGTCCCTAAAGTTCCCCAAGTAGACAATCCTTGGGCTGGGTGATTTCTTGGGGGCTCAAATAGGCTTTCCAGAAAGGAGCGGGTATGGGAGAACTATAAAAAGCAATCTCTTAAGGAGGAGAAAACCTATGAACCTGTAACACAGTAGAAGGATTTAGAAGCTATGGCTGGTGAAATAAAATGGAATAATAAGACCTAGCCTGCCACTCAGTGTCTGAATTTTGCCTGTGCAGTCCCCAGAACAACAAATAAAATAGGACAGTATGCCCACTCTCTTACTCCCCTTCTCCCCCCACCAATTCTAGCTAGAAGGTGTGAGTTAAAGACCCTTCCAGATGGAGAGGTCAGGAAAGGAGTGAGGAAGACAGATAGATAGTCAGACCCCAGGGGCCTAAGGCAGGTCTGGCAGCTGCTTTACAAACAGAATACTTCTCTGCTTCCAAAAGCTGTTCTTAAAGCGTGGCCTCCTGGGCTATCCCGGTTGCACAGGGGTACGGGTGGGGGTTGTGTATTGCTTGATATTTCTTGTTTCTATTACCCAGATTATTCTGACATGTACTGAGTGACTTGCCTTCTCTCATACTGAGATCTTTCAGGTGGAGTGCTCAATGACTGGTCTCGAATCACTATGAACCCCAAGGTGTTTAAGCTACATCCCCGCAGCGGGGAGCTGGAGGTACTGGTGGACGGCACCTACTTCATCTATAGTCAGGTAGAAGTGAGTACGGTCTTAGGCCTAACGCTTCTTATATCCAGACTGCAGATCCAGTACAGGCCACATAGGGGCACTGTGGAGCCAGCCAAGACCAGCCAATAGCCAACTTCCTGCTTTGGCTGGGAGGAGGGGTAGGGGCACCCCCCTGGGAGGGAGCTGAAAGGATGAAGAGACAGGGGGCTGTCTGGTATTTTTATTCCCACTCAGTTTGAAAAGCAGAGGAGAGGCCCCTCCCACACCCTGCCATCTGACTCCCTCTCTCAGGGCCCCAGGCCCTGGTGTCGCAGCTGAACTATTTGGTTCTCCTACCAAACTGGAACTCTGCCTCAGTATATTCTTTGAAAGTCAGTCCCAGAGCTGCAGGGATCCCCTTCCCCACACACCCCTAACTTTATAAATGAATAGTGCTCCTGCGGACTTTCTCTTCACCTCAAAATGATTTCTGGCTTTCCTTCCTCTTTCTCCCATTTGTTTCTCTCCCTTTCCGTTTCTCCATCATTCTTGCCTCCTTCCTGCTGTCATTCTCCTAGCCCTTTTCTCCCTGTTTTTGTCCTTGCCCTTCCTTGGGCCCGCTCCCCAGGTCTGCCAATGTCCGGCCACTTCCTCCTCTGTTGTTGGTCTCCACTGGGGTGGCTCCTCAGAGCCAGAGGTCGATGTGCCTTGAGGTTGGGGCTTCTGTGGGGTGGGCAGCAAGCAGGCGGATGGACAGAAGGACTACAGAGCCAGCAGAAGGGTCTTGCAGGAGAGTGGCCAGAGAATGTGGGTTCACAAGCATTTGTGAAGCCCCCTGAGCATCCTGGCACAGGGTCCTGACCCAAGAAATTGTATGGCACCTAAATACACTACTCTCTACCCAAGAACCTGTGGAGCAAGTTGGGAGCAACCTTTCATGAAAGTGAATTAGGGTGAGACAGGAGGGTCCACTCCCCAGAGGAGACCTGGGTGAAATCCCAGTGTCCTAGGGGCCATTTGTCCTAAGCTCCATTTGGTGGGAAGATCAAAGCTTGGGGTAGGGCGTGAGAGCTAAGCATAGCAGAGGATGCAGAAATTCATTCTCTGGGCTTAGGAGAGAACTGGGAGTGGCCTCAGGCCTTGGCTACCATGACAAGCAGGCAAAATCCCCTTGATACCAGGTTGTGGAACACAGGTTAGCACTTCCTTGTGGCCATAAAGGGAGGGGTGTGGGTTTTGCCCTTCCAAGTTCTTTACATCATTGTGGTGGATAGCTCTCCATCTCCCTGTGTCTGTCTCCTCGGTCAGCAGATAAGAGGGCCAAGAGGTACTGTGAGCATCAGTGAGGGAAATTCAGCCACAGCAGAGGGAAGGCCTGCGGGTTGAGTGAGCCGCAGTCAGCTAAAGAGCTGAGGAAGTGCATGGCGAGTGTTACTGTGCCCTCTCTGAGGAATCAAGTGACTTCAAAGTTTATCCGCAAACAGTTCCTGAGGCTCGAAATTGGAAGTTCACTTGTATCTGTTTGTGCCTGTGGCACTCGCTGAGCACCTAGAGAGTGCAGAGTACTATGCTTCAGGCCAGGGCCGAGGAGGGCAGGGGCACGGGAGGGGCTAAGGAGCCAATAAAAAATGGTTCCTGCCCTCACTGGGTTTACAACCAATGGACCAGTGAAAGAAAGATTTGCTCGGCCATCTGAGCCTCATGGAGTGGGAGAAAGACAAGCATGAGCCTGTCAACCTGCCTTTCCTATTGGCTACCTAGCATGCCTTCAGGTGGCACGACCCCTTCATGAGGTGTACCAGCAGCTCCATGGAGAAGGTCCTATGTGTTCATCCCAGAGGAGGGTCCTACCCTCTTTCCTCTCTCCCCCAATCCCTTCTTGTTGCCTCTCACCCAGGTTTACTACATCAACTTCACTGACTTTGCCAGCTATGAGGTGGTGGTGGATGAGAAGCCCTTCCTCCAATGCACCCGCAGCATTGAGACAGGCAAGACCAACTACAACACCTGCTACACCGCGGGCGTCTGCCTTCTCAAAGCCCGGCAGAAGATTGCCATCAAGATGGTGCATGCCGACATCTCCATCAATATGAGCAAGCACACCACCTTCTTTGGGGCCATCAGGCTGGGCGAGGCTCCTGCATCCTAGATTTCCCCTATTTTGCCCCTGCCCACATCCCTGCCCCAGGTCTGGGAGCCAGGACTTCCAGAACCTCAAAATGCTGCTGTGGAGTGAGGTACATGGGTGTTGCAGCCATAGAGAGAAATTCCCTCATGCTATTTATTCCCCAGTGACTCCAGGATGACAAGGCCTGCTTGACTTTCCAGAATGACCTTGAGTTAACAGGACAGTTGACAGAGCCCCAGGGTTTACATGAAGCAAAACCTTCCCTGGATCCATGTTGACTGGCTTCTGGCATGACTTCAAACTCAAGGTCCCCGTTGTCAGAGTTATGGTTTGTTGCACTAACATGAGGGTCCAGGGCAGCAAGCAAGAAAAAGCAGAGGCATCCTCCAGACTGTGGGGGTGAGCCTCTGACCCCGAGCAGGCTGCTGCTCCCTTCTTGGCTGGGGTTGGGGGGTGGGGTTGGGGCTGGGAGGGAGTGCTGCAGCCTAAGGAGAGGGGCAAGGAGGGAAAAGGCAGGTGCTTGTGGCAGAGACCAAGGAAGAACGCTGCGAAGCGGGCATCCTGGGTGGTGGAAGCCTTCTTGCTGCTCTGCACTGTGGCTGCCAGAGGGTCAGAGAGCTCTTCCCACTCAGGCTGAGAGCCATGTTGTTGGCAGCTTGCTGGGTTTTGGGGACAAGAGGTTCTCTCCTCCTTGAAGTGACTGCAGGGCATAAGCACAAACCTGCCTGTATAAGAACCTGAAGCCATACATGGGGCCACATGTCTTTCACTTTGTTTGCAGCTGTGCTCCACACTCAGAAAACCCCCTGGGTCTCCTCCCAATTGTCCCCTTTCCCTGCCTGACTAGAACTCCTGCCTTCTTTCTCCACAGAGCCTACCTCTGTCTGAGACAGGTGCCTAACCTGGGACCTGTGCTTATGCGAGTTGGGGATCCTTGTTAGATTACCTCGGCACAAAGAGAATTCTCCATCTCTTAACCAAGATAAATACTCATCTAGTCGAGTTGTATTTGGGGGCAAAGGGCTGGACTGGAAGACCTCCAGAAGGCCCTTCAAATTCCAATATTTAGGAAGCCACCATGATAGCCTTCTAAAATTCCCAAACTCTAGACTGCTCCTGGGCATCCACAAGACAGAGCTTTTCCACCTGACCCAGGAAGGGCAAGAGATGGGGATAGGACAGAGGGTTTTTTCCAAATGTGTGGCAACCCAAGCAACTGCTAGCCCAGGCCTTATCTGAAAGCACTGCAGCTGGTGCCCTCCTGACCTGCCTTTCCTTGTTCTGACTTCAGAAAGCCACAGCAGAGTGTAATCACCAGAGATTCCAGGGGTGCTCCCTCGAATCCAGGCTTAGGAGGAGACAGCGTCCAGGCATTGCGTGGGGCTCTGCCCTCTTGTCAGCTTGCCAACCTCAAGTTTCCCAGCAGATCATATGGTGGGACCATTCAAGGGCCAGGGCCCAGCCTGGCTCCTGCACACTGGGTCTAGCCCAAAGCTGGGAAGGCCAGTCTTGTACAGTCTGCTACCCTTGCTCCTGAAACAATTTTACTTTCAAAGAGATGGAGAATAAGTTCCTTTGGGCAGCTGACATCCACCAAGAACAACAGGTATTCATTTTGCAGCTGTGCCTTCTCTTTCCAAGCAACTACACTGCTTGGCCCTCATGGGTTAGGGGAAGCGGTGGTGTGGGCGATGCCGCCACTGACTGGTTGTGGATGACAGCATGGCAACCTCCAGGGAGGCAGGCTTTAGGCTTCTGTCTGGCCCCAGCCCCGATAAAGTATCTCAGACAGTCCTCAATTGGAGCAGGAACTGATGAGAACCTCTCCTTAAAAATTAGAAAGTACATTCTCTCTTACTATCTCCTTTGGTAATATTATAAATCCCATTGTTTAGATGAGGTTCAAAGAAGTTAAGTGCTTTGACCAGGATCTCACCCAGCTTAAGTCACAGACTTGGGGTTTCAGCCAGGTCTGACTCCAAAGCTATTCCTTTATGCCACAGCACTGTGTTGAACTTGGGATCTTGAGAGAACCAGTAAAAATGGTAATAGGGACCCCAAACTCTTGAAGGTCCTCGGGTAAACCCCAGAGATATTCATTTTCATCCCTTGATGGCAATGCCTGTTCTCTTGGCTGCCAGGGCAGCTGCTGATGCTCTGTGGCAAAAGGGTAAGATGTTTCTTTCGGAAACAGCCATCAGCCTTAGAGCTCTCGTGGGCCAAAGAATTGTCTTGGCACCATGTCTAAGCAGCAGGCGCCAAGTACCCACAGCACCGATAGCCCTCTTGTTCTCTTACCCACCCAGTGACCCAAGAAACTGCTGTGCGTGGAGCCCCTGCTGCAGGCAAGGTCCTCCCTCCATTACCCTACAGGCAGCTTACAGGAGCTGGCCCCCTTCCCATGCTAGTAAGTGACTTCTTATCTCTTTCTACCATGCTATAGAGACCTTTGTGCTACCAGGATATCTCAGGATGGAGGGAAGACCCTACAGAGGACTGGTTCCAGAGCCAAAAGGATATGAGGAGAGGGAAGGAAAAGGCTTCCTACTTGTGCCCCTAAAGGACATTCTAATACCCATACTATTCTCCAGATCTGGAGGGCATCATAGGGGAAATAGGATTTGCACAGGACCCTTTATTCACTGTGAGCCCCCAAAGGGAACCCTAGAGCGAGGTAAGCAATAAGTAGCCGGGGAGCCCTGTGGCAGCAAAGTTACTGGCAAAATGGTAACACGGTTTACTAATAAGAAAGTGTGGAAATAGATTTCGAAAGAGTTTGGAATTATGATCATGTGAGTTTCCCAGAGGGCCAAGCTTGTATGGAGAATGCGATGAGGATATTTGTGAGCAAGCAGATGGCAGAGATTTGAAGGGAAATTGCATGGCGGGTGCCTCTGCCAGCTGCTTGGGCTTTATCAGCCAAGGCTGGCACAAAAGGCAGCTGTTGGGGACTGCTCAGCTCCTGGTTCCTTGGAAAATGTAGTCTTTGCTTTATTTCTGCCTCATCCATCCTGAGCCAAATTTCTTTTGTTGACAGGAAAGGTCTAGGAACCCTGGAGGTAAACAAAGACTTTGACCCACGTGTGTGTATGTGTTTTGTGAACTTCTGGTGGTTGCAAATAGATACAGAGAAATTTAGAGCTAAAAAGACTCTTAGAGGAAATCTAACCCAACCTACATCCAGGTAGCCATGTTACTCATGTGGAAACAGAGGTGACCTACCCGAGGGGAACGAGCACTGACCTCCAGACTCACAGAGCATGGGGGAAGCAGTCCCTGTCCCACATGGCCCCCTTCTTTCTTCTACCCTCAGACTCAAGGCTGGAAGGGCTCAGCCCCTTTCAGGGACCTGACCAGGCAGGGAGAGAATAGCTGCATCCTTCATCAGAACTCTTCCTCCCGCCAAGGCATTCTCCCAGCTCAGAGCTCTGGACTGGAAGGCTCTGGACAGGCCTGACACCAGAAAGTCCTGAGGCCACCCTGGCACTGCCTCAAGCCCTGTACCTGCCTGGAGGGCTCCCCTAGCCATGTGAACATAATGAGGGAACTGGGTTTTTGTTTTTCTCTAAGAGGGGTTGGGGTATGTAATTTTTTTATTCAAAAAGCTTCCAGCTGAGGTGGAGGGGTGGGCTTTGTTGTGAGAGTGGCCTGGAGCGGGCTCAGTGCTGTTTTAGAGGTCAGTACCCAGTGTGAGAGACTGTGTATATAAACTATATATAATGTATATAAAGTGGGATGTATGTTTGTGTAAATTAATGGTTTATTCTTTGCAAATAAAGCTTTTCTCCCCCTGTTCTTGAAATTGGCTTGAGCACATCTTGCATGCTAACTGCTTCTTTGCAAGTGATGCCACTCATGAGCTAGGGGAAGGATGAGGACACCCATTTCAGAGGAGACAACAGAAGGAAGGTAGTCTACATTTCCTATCAGAACATCTCATCCAAACCACACACCCCTATCTCCCCCACCTTAAGTCTTTTCCTGTGACTGCATGTCTTGTAGGCTAGAGGTCCTGCTTAAAGGAACATTGCCCTGAGGCAGAGACATAGCATAGAGTCACCCTCTGCTTGAGACTGTGGTATCTATAACATGTTTCGGGCCTGGGCCCAAAACAGCTTGTGAAAATCCAGCCTCCAGCCCCCCATAACCTATCATCCCATTTTGCAGATAAGGAGACCAAGGCTCAAGAGTTTAAGTATCTCACCCAAGGTCACCCAAGTAGAAAGGTTTCTTAAACTTTCAAAAGACTATTGACAAGATCCTACAGCATGAACATTCTTTTAAACATCGAGGTGCCATGAAATTTAGGGCTTTGTTTGCTTGGATGGAAAATGGGCCAAATGGTTGCAAGGGAATAATTCTGTGTGGCTCTCCAGTTTACAATGTGCAATCACATTTGATAGCAACTAGTGTGTTGGCCTGGTCTGGTTCCAAGTCTAGTGCAATTTCTGCTCAGCCACACTGCCTCTGCCACTTGGCCCTAAGTTCTCTGTACAGAGAAGCCCTGTGGAGGCTGACATAAGGAAGAGGCTCACCAGAAGAAGGCCAGATAGCAGCTCAGGAACACCTGGCCTCAGAGAGTTCTGGGCACTTTTCTCAGCTACCCTGGCCCCCACTGCATAGGTAGAGAATGTGGCACAAAGACCGCAACATGCACGTGGTAGCCTGTGCCAAACTCATGCTGAGGTGTGCATGTGTTGGGTGTTGGAGCCCAGGTGGGTCCCCCTGGCTGCCTTAGGTTGGAAATAGATTTTTATAAAGGAAACCAGTCATGGAAAGCCTGGAGCTTGTTGAAAAACACCTTATGGGGAACTCAGGGAAAATCAGCTCTGGCCAATGAAGTACAGAGACAGCCCTACTGTGTACAACTCACCACATGAGGCAGGCATCCAGGGTAGGGGCAGCAGACCACAATGTAGTGAATACACAGGATGTTCTAGACCATACTGACAAAGTCGGTGCAAGTAAACTGCTAGGACCAAATGGCAGCCACCCAAGACTGATAGAAAAAGGGGGCTGTGGGTCAAACTGTGCAACCCACCACTGGCAACAACCGTTGGGTCAAGAGACTCACCATGTGGAAAGAGAGTTCTTTATGGCTGCTGGAAGCCAGGTGCCTCACCTCTATCCTGAGCAGGACAGATGACTCACTAAGAAAGGGCAGAGTTAGCGAGGGTAGGCAGGTTGCTGGAGGAAGCCAGGGCACAGTAGGCCTGAGCCTGACCCATTCGACTGTAGCATCAGGAGGTAGAAACTGAGTGTGGAACAGGAGTGCTAGGGGCTATCAATTACTTAGACTTTCAAAGGACAGTTGACAAGATCCTACACTGTAAGCTTTCTTTTAAACATTGAGGTACCCTGAAATTTAGGACATTGTTTGCAGGGATAGGAAATAGGCAAAATGGTTGGAGGAGACTAATTTTTTGTAGCTTTCCAGTTTAAAAAGTTCAACCACATTCAGTATCATTTTATCTTACCAGCAGTCTCTGAGGTAAGCAGGGGAGGGAATCTTAGTCCCATTTCCCAGATGAAGAAACTAAGGCTCAGAGGTGATGGATTGCTCCAAGTCACATGGCTTGAAGGTGGTGGAACCTCAACTCAAAGCCCACTGGATCTCCAGGCACCGGGCTCTGCAGGAGGCTCAGTGCCAGGAGAGTGGGCTGCTTGAGAGCTAGGGAAGGAAAGCCATGTGCAAGGGTAGCAGGCCCTCAAACCAGACCAGGTAGGGGCAGAAGCAGTATCAGAAGATGACCTTTTTATTATCTGTTGTTTTCCTCAGTGCTGGTGCTGAGTGAGCATGTGAGGGAGGGGTATCTCTCCCCTAGAGCCCTCCCTGCCTTTGGACGCTATCTCCCTTGTGACCCAAAGGAAAAGTCAGAGAAGAGGAAGATGAAGGAAAAAGAGAGGCCCAGAAAACAACCAAATGGAAAGCCCCTGCTTACAGTGAGGACTGGCCAAATCAAGAGCCAGAGCCCCATAGGTGACTTTCATCCTCCTGTCTCACGGGATCCATACCTTTCAGGCTGACAGGCTGTGGGGATGTCTGTCAGACTCACCAGCTCCTGGGTCTCTGAGATGCCAGACTTGGTCTCATGCTGGTTAAACAGTTTGCAGAGGGCATTGATATAGAATGCAAGGTATTTAGCCACAGAATCCGGGCTCGGGTTCTCAATCTTGGGCAGTGGTAGAGGTTTCCTGACTGACAGAGGACACAGAGAAGGAAAAGAAGAATATCAGAAGACCTTGCCCCTCAGGACGGGTCTCAGCCCTCAAACCCAGGTTCTCCCTACCCTTACCTCCACCCTACCACCCAACCTGGCCAGCCTCCCTGCCTCTGGATATAGCCAGAGCCAAGGTTCAGACTCAGAACTGGACCCTTTATCTTAGACAAGGCTGCCAACCGAAGGGCCCACTCACCAATGGTGGTCACAGGCTTACTATAGGTCAGAAAGCCCCAGGAGTTCTCAGTGAGGCCACACCCATGTAAAGCACAAGGGTAGATATCTACCATTCTCTGAAACCACTCCTGGAAGCAACTGACCAAGCCCCAGGAATGAAAATGTGCTGATCATAGAGGCCTGTCTCCCCAAAGGCATAGGCAGGGGGAAGAGGCACCTTGCAGAGGAAAAGCATGGCCTTTGATAGCGGGAAAGGTAGAAAACCAGGTGAAAGCCAGAGATGCTGACCACAGGAGTCCCTGGGTCTGCCTAGAGACTCCTCAGCCCCTAACTTAGCTAGGCCTAGTCCCAGGCTGAGTGTGAGGACCCTACAGTCTACCATGGGTGGTATGTGGTGGCAAAGAAACAGCAAGCTGAACAAAGCAAGCCCCAGACCCTCCTGTGAACCCCCAAGCCTTAAACACTGGAAGATAAGATCCAAGGGCCATTTATTTCACTTAGCTCTCTTCCTTTTAACCCACTCAGTAATTTTAGCTGTCTCTGAATTGGCGCTGCAGCCAGCTACCTTGTATAGAGGAACTAGCCCAGATAAGAGGCTTGTGAGAGGGAGAACAAAGCAGGGCTGGCCTCTAGCTTTTCTTCATAAACAAAATACCTTCCGGACCTGGCCCAGGCTCTACTCCAATGTAGAAGTGTTTCTCCCCCTCCCTTTTTAGATAAAATTTCCTTAAAACCCCTGGCCTTTTGGAGTCTCCCTCCCCAGTCTGGACCAAGCTGTCCTTACCCATGTTGTATGTGTATAAAGCCAGTCCAGTTCTTCAAGAACACGGTGGTAGAACCTGACAGGCTGTATCTGCACTCATCAGACCACCAGTGACCACAACTAGCATGTTGCCTGTGCCTTTATGGGTGAGCAGAAAGTCCATAGAGGATTGGCCCACAGAGCAGAGTCCTGGCAGGCAGAAAAAGGCAAAAGGTCATTGACTACTTCCCAAACCTCCTAACTTTCCTTGCTACCTCTTCCAAAGTGGGGAGAGCCTCAACATCAGGCAGATGAACCTAGTGTAGCTTTTTAAGACCAGAGGGGATCAGAGTTGGCCCTGCTCTCAGCCATTCCCCCTAACACTTCTCCCTCTGGGAACCATTTTTGCTTTGGCTTTCTGTCCTAGGACCCAACTCACCTGAAGACATGATACAGTCTCTGAGGAAAGACACCCAGAAAAAGGCTCCCAGTATGAGCATATGGGGGACAATGCCAGGAAAGATCTTGGAGAAGCCTGAGGTCTCTGTGGCAAAGTGGCCAAACAAAGTATGAATGGGCCAGGAGCCCATGAGGGTGGCAGACAAAGCTGTAGTTGTCCTTGAGGGGAGATATCATGAGTCTTTGAAAGCTGTGGAGGAAAGTGGAGTCAGGAGGGAAGAGAGTCCACCAGGGAGGAGGACACCCCCTTTAGTCAGAACCTTGGAAGAGGAAGGGCCACTATGTCAGGCCAGACATGCTCGGTCACACACAACTCCGGGAGGGCACCATTCACATGGCCCTCTACGTGAATGACTCCCCCGACCCCACTGTTGCCACTGGACTTGGGGCCTAGCCTGGGACCCAGATGAGTGTTTAGGACTACTCACCTTAATGGAGAAATAATCACAGTGCTGTTTCCACAGGCACCAATGCCTCACACAAGCAAGCCGGCGGCCACCTGAAAACAGAACCAATGTGGCAAGTTTTGCACCCCACCTCCACCCCCACCCCACCATCTTCAGAGCCCTTTGGGCCTGCCACAGGGTGCTCCCACCTCTGCTGTGTCCTGGCCGCTTAAATGACAAGCAGGATGGGCTCTGGCATGTGAGGGCCAGGCCAATTTCAGACAGGCATAACTTTCTGCTTTACTAGCTGCCCCTCCCCTAACCCACTCCAGTTCTGTTATGTGCCTTTCCAGCACTTTGAAAAGAACCCTTCCCTCAGCTTCCCAGGGAGGGACAGGCTGAAGGGCTGCCTGGGAATTGGCCACAGCCTCTCAAAATTATAAAACGAAAAGGGGAAAGAGCTATGGCAGGTGGCAACACAGCCCCAGCAGGGCCCTTACCTTGCTCAGGGGTCTTCCAGTCAAAAGCCAACCAGGTGAGAATGAGCACAGTGACAGGCTCGAACATCATGAACACCACCAGGTAGAGGTTGCCAAGGGTCACAATGGTTACTAAAGGGAATCCAGCCCAGAGTTAATGAATTATAAACAGCCTCTCACACTTGCCCTCCCATCAGGGTTCTGTTGCCCCCTCAACCTAACCCCCCACCATGGTTGCATACACTCTCACCCATGCTCACTCAATGCTCTCACTTCCTCACATAGCCCATGGGCCCAAATCCCCAGCCACCCCACTTCCCC